CTCCATTTTCTCTTAGTTCTGATAGGTTTTATCTAATGAGATCTGGTCCCTGGCTTAGATCTGCTCGGAATGACGTGTCCGAAATGAATGAGAGCCGCGTAGCAAACAAAACATTTAATTAACGAAATTGGCCTCTAAGAGAGAGCAGGGAGGGGTGGGGCTGGCGTGGAAGGGGGGGGCACGGGGGGGTGCTGCCCGGCCTCGTCTTAAAGGGGCAGCGCCCGCGGCCCGGCCCGGCCCCTCCCCGCCTGCCCGCCCGCCCGGAGCGCGCCGTGGGCGCGGCGCTGCCGGCCCTGCCCGGCCGGGGCTGCGGGGGGACCGGGACGGCCGCAGGGCCGAGCTGGGCCGAGCTGGGCCGGGGAGGGGGCCGCCGAGCAGCGAGTTCATTTCGCTGGTAATCAGCGGCAAGCTGCTATATTCGGGGAATGCTGTCCCTTTAATTGAACAGGCTAGGTAATTAAATGGCACTTTTCCAATAGGACGTGCTAGGTAAATCTAATAGTTGGTTATTTAATATCACTTTGAAGTCTGCCCACTCAAGCACAATGACAGCACAGGAGCATGTGAACTATTAGCTAGGAAAAAAAAAAAAACCCAGGATCTCAAAAATTAATTAAATCGCATGCAATTTAGGGGGAACGTTTATCTTGATTTGTCATAACAGAATTAATTCAAGGCCTCCAATTCACTTGGGGGCAGATCTGTTACTCTGAATTAACCAAGCGTAATTTGGCTGTTTTTTTTTTCCTTCCCCTTCTCTAATGCAGCACTTGCCATTATGCACAGCCCCCCTTTTAAGTATCAATAGCTTCTGGTGCTTTTAAGGTGCTTGGTCTCCAGTTATTCTGAAGTACCTTTAATGGACTTGGCTCCAGGCTGGTTTCTGTGTTGCCTTTCTTTGTTATATTTAATATCGCTGTTGCAGAATTTAGATTAAATGTGGGGAATGTACAGAAACACCAATCGCTTCTGGACCAGTGGGTCTGGATGTGCGTTTCTCTCTGGTAGGGCTTGGGCGTAATTCTGTGGGCACAACAGGCACTGTGCTATGTAGGTTCTGGAGCTGCTAAGTCTGATTACCTCCATGATTTTGGAACCAACAGGAACCTTGCTTTGTTGGTGTAAGTTGCATGAGATATGCTTCTACTGATAGTGAATTTTGAGTGGCAAGAGGTGAAAGGTTGGGCTGGGAGTGTTTCTTGCTGCCTTCGTTCCCACTCTTGTTATGGAAAAAAATGAGGAGAGTGTGCGTGTATTTGGATGTGGGGAGTGCAAAGCTGGAACTCTACGGTAGTCAATTTAAGGTGGCTCGGTAAAAGGCTGTTAAGTGTAGAAGAGCTGCCTTGTCCGTATAGGGAAGCTCTTGATGTTTGTGATTGATTGCATCGCCCAAATGTTGAAATATTAATGACCTTCTTGGACTGAGGACCCAAAGAGGAAACTGAAACCAATTCTGTCATCACAATTAAAGAGTCCCCTGGCTTTAATTAGCCTGACCTGGGGTATCTCTACCCATTGCTGCAGTTAAAGAGAAAAGAGCCCATTAAAGTCCAGTCTGAGACCGATAGCTACTTAATTGAGCACCTAAAGCCTGCAGCCTTTTAAATCAAATACTGTCCTGGATGGTCCCCCCGGTTAGATAATTAGCTCTCCAGCCGCTCAGAAGCCACGTGAAACAACTTTCTCAGTAAAGAATAGTTACTGAGGTGGACTTCCTTTACTGGTAAGAAGGAATAATATTTATTTTTAAAGATAAAACCTTTTTCCTGTTAATGATATCAGAAAACAAAAGCATCCATAGCAATAGAGAAGGAAAAATAAGCTTTATTGTCCTAGTGAATAATGCAGAGCACTGGAAGGTGTTCTAACTGTGAGTAATTTTCAGGAACGTCAGCGGAAGATTCAACTGCAGCAGCCTCCCAGAGCGGAGCTGTTCTGGAAACATGCGTAGGGAAAACCCGGGAAAAGCTTCAG